CTGTGAGATCCTTGGTTCATGATCACCAGTCTTATCAACAGCTTCAACTTCTGCTCTTCGTCTCCCTTTAATTAGAGTTTTTAAAAATCCCTTGGACCTCTCTGACCAATTAGCTCAGCTTTATCCTAAAGAAACAGGGTCTCAACTTGAATTCTGGTCTGAGCATTCACTCATGTGACATGTAAATTTTAAGATTGTCCTACTTTTTTGAGTTTAACTTAGGCTTAGATGCTCTAACTTCTATGACGTGAAAATGAATAGCTGCCTCTGCAGCCCTAAATTCTAGATAAAATCCTATGATGCTCAAGCACATTTGAACTTGACGGTCCTCTTAAAATTCATGTTTAGAGAAAATTATTCTTCTCATTCATTTTCAAAGGATAAATTCTAAAAATTTGCTTTGTGCATAATTTCATATATTCTTGAGACACAAAAATTAAAGCAAGTGCATATTGCTATTTTAGAATTCTTGTACTTCAAATCATTGTCCAAAGTTTTCCCCTTTTGTGGTTTTCTGAACAAACTACACTCCATTCTCTTTTTAAATACTGGAAATAAAATATACATCCCTGAACTATAAAAACTAGTATTTTCTCCATTGTCTAATATGTAATGATTAAGATTAATACTTTGAAAATTAGTGATTTTCCTTTTGCTTGTAGCAATTCTGAAATGATAACAATGTTCTGTATTAACCATTTTATCTTCCTACGAATAGATATCATTATCTTCATTTGAAGATGAGAAACTGAGAAACCAAAGGTCACTCAACAAGTAGTGTGGCTCAGATCCAAAAACAGCAGCTAAACATTGAATTTTCTTACTTACAAGATGTCAAGTTCAGAATCCCAAAAGTGCACTGCCAACATGTTCATAGCTAAAGGAAAACTCTTTTTTTCCTGCCTCATGCCAAATGAGTCCTATCCATCCTTCAAGTCCTACTGAATTAAGTGAGCCCATCAAGTCACATAGATATTTCCCATCTGAAAAAATGTTATTTGGGGGTTGGAATGGGTCAGGATTTGCCTAGGATCCTGTGTGATCTGCCAGCAAGGAATGGCCCATATGCTGTAAATAGTAGGGCATTCTAACAAGATTCACTTTGTGATAATAACAACAAATTAGACGAGTTGATAAACCAGAAAGATTGGGTCATCTTAACAGAAAAGAGGAAGCCAGGATGACTCATAAGCACAAGACCATTGTCTTGAAACATTTTTGCTTAACAAGAAAGTTTGGGAAGAGAAATGCCACCCCATCAGAATTTTATTTGTTTTGTAACACAAGAAAGGGTTCAAGCTTATTAATTTAATAAAATGATTTAGACAATAATACATAGTACACTGAATGCAGTAATATGGGCAGCATTTCTCATTTAAATGGAGCATAATCCTTATGTCATGTATCAGATTAAAATAACTTTAGGAAACTTAAATTAGAGGTAAATAGTTACTCATAGACAGACCTATAGCTCATCATTTCCTATCTCTAAACTCTTGTATGAAAAATCTCTCACCGTATATGGCCTTATATTTCTATTAAGTTCCTAGCTGCTGCTGTTACTCTGAAGACCTCTATACCATGCGGGTCTCCCATAATGCTTTAGACATAATAGGCTAATAAACACTGGATACATGGTGATGTAGCTATATTTTTATTTTGAAAACTAAGTGTGTTCTATTTAGACTTTTAGCCCAATGCCTGAAAACATAAAACATCTTAATTTCAGGATATGAAGGGAAGTAGAGTTTAAATGGCATCATAAAGTTGACAAATTTATGTTTAAGTACATGACTCAAGCTGTCCTGCTGTGTAAGGGAACCTTGAAAGTGGGTCAGACAGCCCACGGTGAATGAACGTATTATTAATGAGAGAGGACTGGGAGGACTAAAAACTGCAAATTTCCCTAACAGACTTAGGTAAATCTGATTAGTCCCCGCTTTATCAACAGGTAAGTGCTGTCTCAGAAGGTCATATTCAGGGATATATCAGAAGCTGTCCACCTGGGTCTCCAGTCCCCCACTGTCAGCGCATACTTGGGTCTTTGAGCTTCAAAAGTAGTAGCATTAAGAGGTATTAAGAAAAGATTAGATTTAAGCCCAGGATGACCAAATTCCCAACTGTTTTGGACTGAGTTGTAGTAAACAGATGGTAAATACATGACACCAAGCATGTGCATTTGTGTTGCTCACTATTCCTGAGGGAACGCTCATTTCATGCTTCCTAAACTGTGACACAGAACACTGACCTGCTTTGCTGTAGTCAAGAACTAAGGCTCTATGCTATTAACTTCTCTCTCTCTCTCTCTCTCTCTCTCTCTCTCTCTCTCTCTCTCTCTCTCTCTTTTTCTGTCTTTCACATATGCACATTGCCCTTTTGTTGCTTGGGGAAGTGGGAGAGATTTGAGCTGCTGCCACCCAGAGGAAAGAATAAGTCATGAAATTAATGAGTTTGCACCTGGATGGATGTAAGATCAAGATTTTTAAAAATCCCAATTCTGTGTCTTGTCTTAGAGATGAAAAGCAAAAAACAAAACAGATCTAAGTCTTTCCTCGGACAATCAAATGTGGTTTTTCTGGGCACAGACAACTCACTGGGTTACACACAGTGTGGGTGGAGTGTGGGCCAGGGGCAGCCTCCTGGGAAGCTTATTCTCAAGCCCAACCTCGCCACCAAATGCTGAACTGGACTCAAGAGTAAGAAGGGGCAGCAGAAATCTGTATTTCCTAAGCCCCCATAGTAGGTAATCCTGACTGTTGTGAATGGTTAACAACCACGATGCGTGTTTAGTTATCAATAAATATGCAATCCTTCCTACTTCAATTCCATTTTTAATGACATTCACCCAATCGTAAGTAAATAATGCTTTAAGCCAAGTTCTGTAAATGTACTAAAGTGTTTTTTATTAATAGAGAAGGTTTTAGAAAAATGCAAAGGCTTGGGTTTTTTCTTGTGATTTTGTTATTTTTAAATTTTTATATCGACTATATATTTGAAAACAACCATTTAAGTCATAATATAAGAAAAGGCTCACCATAGAAGTTGGGTACTGAAAAACAATTTAAATGACCACAAGACTTCTTATATTAAAGTTGAAAAAGAGGCTCAGGAGGGTTGTATGACTCCTTGGCAGCCCAGCACACTGTTGACCCTGTTGCCTACAGTGCCCCCAAATCCCACTCACTCAGGAGCTCTGCACACCTTCACTGTGTTTGTGCATGACAAAGAGAGGCATAAATAATAATAATCATTAATAATAATAATAGTGGCTTTCATTTTCTTGGCTGTCATTTATCCTATCTCTAGAAAACAATACCCAAGTATAAAATCTCCATATAGTATATCAAAACCTCTCTGAATCACTTTAAGTTTACAACTGTTTTCAATGTTATAAGTGTACAGAAGCTATGAACTACTCTTCGAGGTTTTGATAACGTTTAAGAATCTTTTTTCCGAAACATTTTCATCTGATACAGGCGCACATTCTTTCTCACCCCTCCCCCATCTATCTATGTCTCACTTTCTCTATGTAATTTTACATCCAAATGATACAGAACTTCCTTGTAAACTCTGTTCACAAGCCCCAAAATATTTCAGAATCCTGATTAAGAATTTATGCTCGAGAATTCACCTGTAACAGGAAGGATGAAGAAATCCCCCTCCCAGATTATCCTTTCCAGCTAAAGAGTTTCGGAAAGTATTTTTGCTACTCCATGGATGACAGACGTAACTGCTGGCCTTGTTTTGTTCACCTCCTTGTCTCATACTCAGCCCTCTATTTCCAAATGTTCACAGCAATGTCCAATGGCAGGCCTTCAGTTTGCCCTCTGTAGACATCCTATCTCCTCTGTGAGGATTCTGCTGCCTCATATTGTAACTAATTAGAGGATGAATCTAATTTTAATACGCCTTATTGTACTAGAGATAAGAATAAATACAACTCACTGCTGTGTGCTGGTCATACAGATGCGGTGAAAATTATATGCACATTTGGAAAGCTGGGTTATTTTAGGCTATTGTTCAGAAATGGGCCACTTGAACCTCTCTTTCTTACTTTCTCCTTTGTTACTCTGTCTCTCAGAATTATAGAATTCCCAACTAGCAGCCACAAAGAACAGATTAGTTTAAAATTTCCCTTAGTGAAGAAGCTCATTCAGTGATAACGCCAAGAAACATGTCACAGGGGATTTAAAATTAAGAACTGAAGAAACATAAAAGGAGGGTTTTGAGGGGAACATAAGTCATGCACTAAGTGGTTAGAACCGAGTGTTTAGAACAAAATGAAGAGGCCAAGCAGACAGATATGGTAACTAAAATCTGCTATGTACACCAATATTACAGTCTAAGCATCATGTGTAGGAGACCCCAGGTAAAAATGTGATGATAGTCTCTCAGTACTCTAGAGCCCATTAGCATTGACTGATTGATGGGTCACAGAGTAAGCAAAATTAAGATTCATTATGGATCCAACTATTTGTCCTGGGATAGGACACAGCTAAGTGGCAGGATTGGTGGTAGTGAGTCTCAGATGAGAGAAGCACACCCAGGTGGGTCACACTGGTGGGTGGCACAGAGGATTTAGGGAGTCTAGGCAGTGATTGGGTCTCTATGTATCAGATTTAGTCATTTTTTAAAAAATATTGTTCTCAACTTTCTGAAAACTGTTTCAAAAAACAAAAGAGATCATCACTAACTAGAGTGGGGAGAAGAATCAAATCTTGTTTGAAAATCCTTTTGTGGAGTACTCACAATGACTCAGACCACTAATGAGGGTTAGAAAGCTAAATGAGCAGTTCATTGTGTAAAATATGAAAATTATCTAAAAATTTTATTTAAAGCTAGTAGACCATTTTATAAAAGGGCTTCCTTTCAAACAATCACCTAGCAAAGTATCACAGGTTTCATAGTCAGTTAATAATACAATATAGAGTAACCATGTATAACTAATGTGTTCACTATTCATGACAATTGCACATTTTAACCTTTATTATCTTTAATAGGTATTAGCTAATTTATCTGCAAGAATACCCATTGTGAAAGAATTTTGTCTTCTGAGATTCATTCAAAATATCAAAGACAAATTGTTGATTGTGAACAACAGAAAGATAAGATATTGCCCATTTGACTGAGAACTGTTGCTGGTATTTACTACCCTAGAAAACTTAAATGAGTTGAAGACCTGGACCCAGTTAAGAACCCCATATGCATTTCCACTTTCATCCTGCAATTTTAAGGCCAGAGTTTCTGTTATCTACACAAGCTCCAAGGAATGCCCTTGCCAAGTCCTTCATCCAGAGAGACAAAGGCAACTTTGCTTCCCTTAGAGTTGCCTGTTCTTTTTCTGCCTCAAGAATCTCCTCAAAGTGAATATTTGTGCAATCAGGTAACTTTGCAATCTCTTTATAAAACAACCTTTCCTTATTCCATCATTTATGAATCTTTTGCCATCAAATATATTTCTTTCAATATGAGGATTTTTTTAAACTTGGGACTTCCTAACATTTGATGTTTGTACTCAGATGTCTACATACATAAAAGATTTTAGGCACCCTAAGTATCTTCTGGTATCTCCAGACTGTGGCCTCTTGGTTCTCACCTCAAAACCCTTTGAGCTTCTTCTTAGACCAATAGAACTCCACTACCCTCTCTTCATGATTTGTGTTCCCTAAAAGAGGTACTGATATAGTTAAGCAGAGTTGATTTTGAAAGATGTTAGAGCCATGATCAGATATTAAAATTATATAAATCTTGATCCTCCATGAAGCCACATCTTCCTCGTGGAATTAGCTAATCCAAACTCAAACTGTTAGGGCTTGAGTGAGTTGTGTAAATTGGCACTTTTAATTATGTGTATTTGGACATTTGAGCAAATTGTTTTGTTTCTTTCAGTTAGAGGAATCTAAGTGAAGCACTTAAGTAAACATCAAATTCATATAAAGCATTAGAAAATTGTGAACTATTATTACTTCACAGCAATCAAATTAGATAATTAAATGTATTTTAAAATGTGATTCTTTTATCAAGTTAGTGTTTTTCTCTTAATGTTTCTGAAAAACATTCATAGTTCAGTTTCCTATTTTTGGAATGGTATTAAAGAACATGACTCTTTGGTAAGTACAAAAAAAATGTCTTGTGTATGGTTCCCAAAACCATTTGAATTTTGTTAGCACATCCATATGCCTTTAGCTTTACACACCTCTGCCTATTCTTACTTCCTTTTTGGAAATTTCCCTGTTAGAAATTTCCAACATCTTCCCTTCAAGCATTCAGAGTGATCCTTCTCCTGAATCTGGAAAGATCACCACCTCTTTCTGTCATTTTCATATAGCGCACATTGTTTCTAAAAGCTGGAGAGCTTTCAGAAAGCTATGTTTCTCCATAAGAATGGAGAATGTCTGTCCATAAATGACACTAACAATGACAAGGAAAGGAAGAACATTCTGAGAAGACAAATTTCATTTGATCCTGGATGAAGACACCATCTTTAAAAGACCAAATGCCTTTAATTTATTTTATTTCCACTCCTTGCTGAAGCTGGTTCTCTTAGATGGTGTCAACAAAGAGCACAGCCAAAGAGAAATTCGTATTAGCTCTGGCACTGGCTTGTTCAAAGGGCAGTGAACTCTTCCAAAGTTAGCCAGCAGTTGCCAGTAGAAAAAATAGAGATTTGAGAACCAGCAAGGGAGTAGGAAGGTAGAAGTGACAGCAGATAGCCATGACTTGTAGGGTAGAAATAATGGAACTGTCTCAAAATGCATCTCTCAGCATTGTGCAAACAGAAGTGGGGCCCTTGTCCTTTTTCTAAGTCATATTTGCTCTCCTGTAACGAGTTGACAGAGTGGTTTACTGGAAAATTTTTCACATTTTCTTCCATTCTGAAACAGAATGTAGAAATTGACATAGTTTTTCTCAACTTCAAAGCAGTAAAATATGTGTGAAATGAACCGATTCTTGGCTGATTGATGCTCCCAAACTGGACAGTGTAAAAATGAAGAGCTAGAATAAGTGGCTGCTTTGGGAAAGCTGGTTGTTTTGAAAACAGCTCAAATTTGGGGTGTCATTTGAATAAATATTTAATGTTCAGTATCTGTAAACATCCTTTAGACATGCATACAAATGTTAACACATGCCAATTTTTCTTTATCCTCTGAATTATACTCTTTGTGATAATAAAATAGTCTGCTAAAAAACTAACTTGATAAATCATTCTAAAAATATTTTGAAACGTAAGCAATACAAAATAGTTGTATTTGAAGTTCTTTTATAATTTTGAAAGGCTTTCTTTTCACTTATCAATTACATTTTGATATGACTTGAGATCAACTAATATTTTCTGTTCTTTCAAGGCCCTGCCTTGATTCTTTCAAAGGCAGAAAAAAATTCATTTAGTTTAATATTGTTTCTCAAATATCTTTATTTACTCTTAAGTATCTCAATATCAAGTTTCCCTTTCTTTCATTCTTTTTATACGTACATAGGTCATATTTTTTCCTGTAGAAAAGAATAATTTCACAAGCAGCACGACACCAATTACTGTAAATCTGAAATCCAATATTCACATGATCTCTAGTGAGACTATCAAAATCTCTCCCCTTGTAATTCCAGTTAGCTGTTTAAGCCATTTAAGTGACTTTCTTAGTTACTGAGACACCATACATGATGCCCACAGATTAAAGGTAGAAAGGTTTATTTTGGCTCACAGATTCAGAAGTTTCAGTCTATAGTTATAAGACTCAAGTACAGACACCACATCGTAGAAGGATCTTCCGTGGAGAAAAGTGGATCAAATCAGGGGAGCCAAGGAACAAAGGAAATGGAGAAGTTAGGTGCTCTCAGGACACACCCCCAGTGACTGACATTTAATGTAGCAGAGCACACAGCTGCTAAGCTCATCAGTGGATGAATCCACCAAGGAGTACAGTGCCTCATGGTCCCACCACCCTCCAAAAGACCCACCTCTCGGTGAGAGTTTTGCGTAACGTTCCAGATCCCAATTATAATACTCCCCCATTGGAATCCAAGGGCATATAAACCAACCTTGAAATGTATTGTTGAGTCTTAGACACATCGTTTTATTTTCTGGTTTGTGTAATGAAAATTCCACTTCTCTCCCTGCCCTATCCCCCATCCAGTCCACAGAGTGGCTGGGAAGGAACTGGAGGCTGAAGGGTTACTCTTACCTTTACCATGTATAATTTTAAAGTGTTACCCAGAGTGTGGATATTCATCGGGAGGGACAGCTGAATTTATTGTAAAGGTGGAGAATGCTGAGTTGATTTCTGTAAAAATAAGTGAGGAAGGTAATCTTTTTGTTCATTAGAAAAATATAGAGTAGCCAGGACAGTGAGGCTGGGAACAAGCGGGCAGGACAAATGACTTGTAACAATAGAAATGTCTGACATGTAACTCTGAATTTTTGATGAAGAGGCAAAGTAAGCCTTTTTTTTTCTTGAATGTATCTATGTCCCCATAGTGAAATCTGCTACCCAAACAGAAGTTCTTTTATGCTTGGAAATCAAGGAGAGAGCCTGAGCTCAGCATTTGGAATAGGGCAGAACTGGAAACTGATTCATCACAGCCACGAAGGTGCAGCCTAGAGCACCCATCAGAACATGATCATGGAGGAAGTTACAGGAATCTTAGTAAAAGCATAGAACCTTCTCTGGGTTGTGATATAGAAATTGGGATCAGTCTTATCCTGATCCTAATGGGATAACATGGTCTTGAACAGCAGCTAATTATAGGTCTATGACCCTGATTAGGTTCTTTGTCTGGCTTAGCCCCATACTAGTTAGTTATAAAGGGAAGGAACAATTTACAGCCTAGGTTTCCTCATCTGCACTAGCAGGAATATTTCTGTAACTCCCTATGTGATGATTGATTCCAGATCATCGATGAGTTCTAAAATAGGCAAATTATTGTTGAAGAAAAAATTAATGTTAAAGTAGAACCCCTACCCATATTGTTCCTGACTTATAAGAAAAAAACATCTTTACAGTTGAGAAATTAGGGATATATTTAGATCTTATGAGACATCCTTGTTTTGGGAAGATGCACACTGAAGGACCTATAGGTGAAATGTTGCAATATCTATAACTTACTTTAAAGCTGAAAGAAAGAGAAAGATAAAACAAATGGCAAAATGTTAATGAATATTAGTGAAGAGCGTGTGAATGTTTATCATACTAGTCTTTCAAACTTCAAAACAATATGCTTATGTTTGAGTAAGTATAAATAAAATACTTACGATCATATGTCTGTGCTATTTCATTTTATCTTTTTGTCTTTCTTCTTTTTCCCTCTACTAAGTTTGTTCTCTTTTCTCCAATCATGATCACCACCCACTGCAGTTATTTACCTTGGGTGGTAGTCTGGGTCTAGTTACAGTGCCCTTAATAAAAGTAGTCTTTATAAAAGCCTAAAGCAGCAAAGGGGCAGAGTGCTGTAGAAATGCCAAGAGTGGAAATAATTGGCAGTTCTGCCAGATTGTTCTGTTCTCCAAAAAGCCATCTCATAATGTTTGGATATTAAATATTTTGCAAAATTAAGAGCAAGAAATTAGAAAAAATACTCCAAATATTATCATTTTCAAATATGAAAATAGAGCAAACATTTATTCGTGAATACTGATTTAATAACACAAGGCCATGATTTTCTTTTCTTAGGCCCTCCCCCTTCCCGAGGTAACGGATTTTAATGCCTGTGGAAGTGATGAGCATTTATATAGAAGTGGCCTCAGGGGCCTGAATTGTGTACACAGTTAGCAATGTACATTTGAAAGATATTTTTCCCAAAGCTACTGGTTAGCTTAAGAGTGGGTGTCTATGTTCCTTTTTAGGATAAATATTCCAAGATTATAGAACACATTTTCTTTTGTGCCTAATAACTAAAATGGGAATAGAAAGAACATGGGGAATTTGTCCAACTAGGGAGCCTTGTGGATTATGATATTCTTAAACTCCACTTTTTCGTTGGTGACTTTGTAAAATGAGCTCTTTTATGATTCTAGCATCCATTCTATGAGCTCTCCTGGTGGAAGAGAAGTAATAATAAATTATTTATCTTCCCAATTTCTAAGGCAAAAAAACAGAAGCAAAATTATTTTCTAGAACCATATCATGGAAATTCAATTTATCCATCAACTGTACTTTCACTTCATGTATACAAAGAACTATCTGAATTATAAAAACATGAAGGAAAGAAGAGACTTTAAGACATAATTTGTTCTAAATAACCAATAAAAATGGTACAAGCTCTGTGTGTGTGTGTGTGTGTGTGTGTGTGTGTGTGTGTGTGTGTGTGTGTTGGAGTGGTTTACTGCACACATTGTGAATTTCTGCCCAAAGTTTAGCTTTTGTTACTTTACTCATCTAGTTTATCATTATCATCTTCATCATTCTCTATGTTTATGACTGGAGTACTCAGCAATTGAGGAGAAAATAGCAAAATGATTTACCACTTGAAAAAAACATTGTATGTAGGTGCATCTTTGGTGAAAACCATCATGATAAAGATTTTTAAAGATATGGTTGGACAAATATGGTCAAATGGAAAATGAAGCATGTGAAAATGAAAATGAAGCATGTGTACAAGAGAGATGATAAAATTCTTTGATTGCAACAGAATGCTTATAAATCAATATTTTAAAATTATCATGGATACATGGAAGTCAGGGGAAATTCAGAGGCTGGAAAACAATGAAACCATGATCTTGAACTTTAATTGAATTTAGGAAGCAGTCATGAACAACTGTATGATTTTAAGAAAGGAACTACCATGAAAAAGTGATGTTTGGGAAGATGAAGTCTTTTCAAGTGTTTTGAATAGATTGTGGATAATTGAAATCAAATGAGGAAGAATTTTAAAACAAAACAGATTCAGGGAAGTAAACATTTTGCTTTAAAAGTGATGTAAGTTCAAAAACAAAGCATTTTTTCTCAAAAGTTCCAACTGGTAGGCTCCAACTTGCAGGCTCTGCTAGACCTAAGGTGAGCAGCAAGAAAAGACTGAACTGATCTGAGGGTAAGAAAGATTCCCACTGGGCACCTGGAAAGAAAGTCGATCCTCTGTCATCCTGAATCGGTCCGACAGGTGCATTTAGCTTTCCTACTCTCCTTGCAAAACAGCTGATCCTTGGTTCTCTCTCTAGCTCTTCCTTTCTTCTCAGTCTCGCCATGAAAGAATCTTCTCCCTATTTCTAAGCCCCACAGCTCCTCATATCTGCTGGTGGCTGGATAGAAGCAAATCAATTGCACAGGTGATTGGTAGCTTGCTGAGGCATATGCTTTCGGTATTGCTGTTGCTTTGCACTTGTTATTTTATTTTAGAGGATTTCAAATGGCATGCAATTTTTAAAAAGCTTCTTTGATGTAATCGATTGCAGGCTTTTATCCTTTCCTCGCAAGAAAAAAAATAGGTCTCCTACAATATTTTTTCTCAACCCGCATGTGTAGCATGACAATAGTGTTGCATGTCTACACAGAAAAGCTAAACAGGGCCACTGTCCCTTGCAGGAACTGCCAGCCATCTATGGGGCTCCCACTGTCCACACAATGTCCCTCTCATCATTTTCTCTCTTGCTTCTCAGGAATTTGAATAGACAAAAATGTTAGTTCTTGTTTTTATTGTTACCAAAATAGCAGAGTACTTGTCAAAAAGAAAACCTTGTGACATTACAAAAATGACTGCTAGCTTATTATATAAATCATATAGGGGTGGGGTGTAGGGTGTGGTGATGTGGCATGCAGTGTGAATTGTACTTCTATGGAACTTTGAAAGTAAAAGATGGCCATGGATTTGTCTCTTATCTCTTACTCACCTCACATGTAAGCCTCTGGAATCCTTGCCCTTTTGTGCATTCAAACAAGTTGCAAGTCCTAACGAGCATAGATAAAGGGTCATGCTTTGTAGGGTCGTTCTATGATGTTGTCTCTGGTCATCTCTGCTATCACACGGCCAATTTCCATGTATATATGATTGAGCTAGGTATTCTGACCTTTTCGGGGCACAGGCCATCGTGTCAGTACACTGCTGTCATAATTGGTTTGGTTGTTTTTGGATCTCTCCTCCAGCTTCATGACCCCCCCCACCCCCCACAGATTCTGGGCTAGGGCTTCTCTGCTTAGCAGAAGGCTGTGAGCTGGGCATTTTTAGAAAGAGGAGCTCTCTGAGTAGGGAAAACTCTGTGATCTGCATAGCTAACATGCCTCCATCCCAGCCAACGTGTGTAATACTGCACCTCAAACCCATTTTGTACTTTAATGCTTTTTATTTTTTGGCTATGTCTTCATTGGTCGTGTCTCTCTCATCTTCATTCAGTGATCTAATTCCTACCATCCCTTAAAATTCAATAGAAACTGTCCAAGAAGTCTTCCTTTTTTATCGCATGAGAAGTGATTGCTATGTGATTTTCTCTATGATATTTTCTTCATGTGCTATTTATTTAACAAAATCATTTACTGCTTTCTAGCATCTATTCAAAGTTTATCTCTGATCTCCACTATTACATTATAAGCTATTGAAGCTATATAATAGGAATCAAGGCCGTTAGCTATTCCTCTTTGTAATCTTGGGGAACTCACTAGAGTTTCAGTTATCTTATTGCATATAAGCCAATATCCTAAAGAGCTGCCCTCGTTGATACTAGGGTAATAGAAATGTACCAATGGTTGACTCAAGAATGGAATCCTATATATTAACGAGAAAGGAGGACAGCTTGTACAAAGAGGAATATTAAAGGACATGCTGACAAGGTGACACATAAGTTTGGTTACCTAACTTTGGAGAAATGAGAATTTTAAGCTTCCAGAATCCAATCTATTCCCAGTAAAGCCCCCAAGGCAATGGAGTCAGATAGGTAGACTTTTGGAACTCTTTTCTACTAAGGTGATATCCTCTGTAAATAAATATGAAACTGATTCATGAAATGGAACATGAATTAGAATCTCAGAGGAAGCCAAAAGTGTACTCATTTGACCTTTAGCACACAGTCTATTTTAGACAAAATTTTATTATAGAAGCACAGTCTACAGTATGCTTGCAGTGAGAAAAAGAATCTGAACAGAGCTGACAGTGCCCAGCCTCAGCATAAGCACAGTGTGAGTGAGAGCTTGGCTCGGTGGAAATCCAAAAGGCAAATGTAACAGAAGCTTAAGAAGTACACTGTGGTGACCCATCAAGTGCCTGTTGGGCACATAGCAGTACCTGGGTGAGATCAGCAACGGTCAAAGATTAAGTAACTCATTGCATTGACAGTTGAGAACGTGCTGGAGCTGTCAACAGAAAGCCAAATGAGAATTAACTAAAGTATATTAATTTGGAGAAAGCAGAAGAGAAAGAAATGGCTTAAGAAATGAATACTTTAAATTAAAAGAATTAGGTCACACTGTTAAGTGAAATAAATCGGACACACATATTCAAATATCGCACAGTATCTCTGGTATGAGAAACCTAAAATGTAAATAAGGACTAAAATGTGTAATAAATATTGGAAATGGAAATAAAACGTTCAGAAGAGAAAAGGAACAGGGGAGGCGAAAGGAAAGAAGGAATATTAAAACATTCTGCTCTTTTTCTAAAGATCCCATCTAAGGAAACTTTTTATAATGATAAATCACTTTTACAAAAATATGAATACCTACAGTTCAGCACTACATTTGATTAGAAGCCTTGCAATAATTGCAAAGAGTAAGAAAAAGTATAAAAAAATAAAATGGCTTTCCCATCGTTGGACAATGAGTCAGCATGGGCTCAAATTTTGAAATATAGATCTCCTGGCACCAACTTCGAACAAATGCTTTTGAACTCAAAATCCTATAAAAATAGAGAGAATAATTGCTCATAAAGCCTTAGTGCCTTTTGTATAGTAAGCATTTTGTTCATCTTGTTGAATTCACTATATAAGGAAAATTACTTTTGCTTTGTCCTTTTTTTCTAGTTCTTTATTTCCTTTTATCCTCTTGAATTATTTATTACCCTCTCTTTTGAGTCTAGATAACATCTGAGTGTGGTATGTTAGTTTCCTGTTTTTATCCTATGTTGTACCACTCTTTAATTTGTTAATTTCCTATATAACCTTTTAGAGTTACTCTGTGCACTGATACATGTTATTTGTATAAATTGAATTATAATTTGCATGTTATTCTGACTTTTGGATTATAACTAAATTTGAACCATATGAACTTTTATGCATTTGCCTGCTTTATCCTTCTTAAATGATATATACTTCCACGCATCTCATTATAACTTTAAACCCTGGTACATACCAATAATGTTTCGATTAATAATCTTTATCCATAAATTTTGCCCTAGAGTGAGTATATTGATAGATACACTTTCTAAAGGTGAATTTGCTGGTTCCCACAGTAGGGTATATCTGATTTTTATGAATATGCTCAAGTTGCTTTCCCTAGAACATCTACAAACCTGTTGTCCTATCATTGATGGAGAAAAATGAAAATCTTCCCAATCTCTGACCAAGTGACTGTGTGCACTTATTATTGCCAATGTTGTTCATACTCCATACAAAATAGTATCCCAACTTTTTAATTTTATTATTTTGCATGAGAATGAGCATCTGGTTATATATTTAAAGGTATTTTTATCCAACAAAGTATCAGTTTAATAAAGTTATTTTAACCTAACTTTTAATTGCTTATTAAATGAATTAAATTTTAAAAATTAATAACACTTTAAATGTACTCATGATTTATACCTTAGTGACAGTTGTTCATAGTTGACAGTTTTTTCTGAATCTCTTTATTTTTCTTGTCTAAAAAGGGTGCGTGTGTTTGTGAAGTAGATTATCATCCAAGAGTTTTCATTCAAGATTCTTTCAGCAAGTTTTACATCTGTCCCTTCATTATCTGTCTTTAAATGTCAAAATATTCCTGAGTACAGGGGCTGGGGATTTAGCTCAGCGGCATAAGTGCCTGCCTTGCAAGCAGGCAGTTGTGAGTTTGATCCCTGGTACTGATAAAAATGAAAAAGACCCCCCCCCCAAAAAAAAAAAAACTCCTGAGTACAGTCTCTCTGAGTATATGAACAAATAAATAACTAAATTGGCAACTATAAGGGAAAATGTCAAAGGTGAGTATTGCACTGTTTTTCCTTTAAAAAAGATTATAAAAAATTGTTAGAAATTTTTCTTTGCAATGAGCACCTCTTACAAATTCTTTAGGTGATTTTAATTCACCATTAAACTTAACTTCCATAATTCATTTTAAAGATTCTTTTCTATTTTTAGGAATGGAAGAGATAAGCCATCCCAATTTTTTAGGAGGAACTAAAGATTTACTGAAAGGAATCTCCCTGCCAAGAGACGATGTGGACCAGAAAAGGCAATTCGCTTTTTCTTTTAACCCACCAGTGCAGTCTGCACACGGTGAAATATCCTCGGAGAGAACTTCCGGTACGTACTTCCTGCTTTTGCCCAGGCCACACTGCTCTAATCTCTGGGTCATAGAAACTCCAGGGAAGAGTGACTACTGGCATATGGCAGTGCTCGGTTGTATCATGTAATTCAACAGAGTTGATCAAACCTGGGCAGAGGAACTGTGCTGATCTGTGTTATCCATTTTATTGACAGAAAAATGAATCATTAGCTGAGTACAAGTGGTTTATAAATCTGTCTAAATAGTTCCTAGGAGAGGCAGAGAGATCTGCTAATTTCTTTCCTCCTCTCCAAAACATATTATCTACAGACAAAATACCCAGTCTTGTGTAAGGTGGTGGTATCATTTTGAAACATTTTCAACTCTCTACCTCTCTTTGTGAGGATAAGTTTGAGAAAACAAATACCTTAGAGTCTGTTTCCTGATTTAAGGATTTGGTTTAATACTTTGAAATGTTTCACTAATAGATTTGACTGTGTACTTTTGAGAGTACAGTAGCAACAGGTTTGATTACCAGAATCACACATTTGTCTCTAATAATATATCTCATTCTTACCACAAACATCATTGGAAAAAATTACTATTGAATGTGCAAATGAAAAATCTAATAGAGATGTTTATTGAAAATTTAGATGCTTGTAAACTCTAACATAACTGCTCTGAATATTTGAGCTGTTGTTTTGGGGAAAATTTTTTTTAAGAATATGTCTTAGAAATATCTTTAGGTCTAATGGGAACTGTCTAACTGGGAAAATAAAGAGAATATTCTGTGACCCTGACTCTCAACAAAATTCCCTTTATGCAAATACGCTTTTTAAGAAATAAGAAACTACAATTTTTAAAGAGTTACTCTGTAAGTTTATACTGCATATTATCAGTACTATGAGAGGACAATATTTTCCTCCCTACTAAGTGTACAAAGAGAATATGGCAAGTAATATGGATAAAATGTTGTGCTTTAGTGGCTGACTGAAAATGAAATATTTATGGATTTTGTTAATCACATAGAAAATATGATGGAAGAGGTACCACTAAACATAACAAGACAAAAAAATCTTATACTACTAATCCATACTGTGAGTCACATGGATTATTTAAATAAATGTTTTGAAAATGGGAAAACAATATATTGTGTAGATATCAATACTCACCAGAATTATCTCTACATTTAATGTAATCCCTTTCTTCATAGAAATTGCGAAAACCCATCTGAAACTATAAATGGGTAAGAACTGCCATCATGGATAGAAAAGTATACGTGGAACTTGCTAAATATCTGAACATGTGAAAAAGCCATCCTATGTGAAACAGTATGAGATGTGACAGGAAAGAAACTCAAATCAAGGAATCAGACTAGAAACACTAAAAAAGACTCACATATACTGAAATTTATAGAATATGAATAAAACAGCATTTCAAATAAGTTTCAGATGGGGGTACGGCATTGTTCTGTCGTAATAACATAATAGATACTAGTTTTGCTTTAAAAGATCATGGTCATCATGTTTTTATTTATTCTGTATCAGAATTGCTACACCACAATGGGGAGGGGTTGACTTACAGTCAGCTGGGATGTGACCTTTTTAGTTGCTAGAGACGATGGTGCTGTGAGCAGCCCCATTTATTTCCTTCATGTAATAAACATTTTTGCATGCACTCTGATGTGAAATACACTAGAAAATACTTTTACTGTTTGCCAAATGAATTTAAATAGACTTTAATATTAAATTCAAATGAAATTATAAAAGAACTACCAGAAAATATGAACATATATATTGGATCCAGGAAGTTTGGGGAAGAATACAATAAAGATAGAAATCATAAAGGCAAACAAATTATATTTGATTAGTTGAAATGAAAATTTCTGAATCTCAAAGGTACAAGATTAACAGACACTCAGCACGTGTGACAAACTGAGAAAAATATGTCCAGCAAAGTAGAGAAAGAATGAAAACATTCTACAGATTTCTAAGAAAAGATACACAACTATATATATATATATATATATATATATATATATATATATATATTTGTCTTTTTCCTTTTTATCGGTACCAGGGATCGAACTCATGACTGCCTGCTTACAAGGCAGGCGCTTAAGACGCTGAGCTAAATCCCCAGCCCCCACAACTATATATTTAAAAAACATAAAAGATACCAAAAAAAAAAAGATCCATAAGGATGGATCTTTAAAATCATCAATCTTAGAAAAATGTTAAAGGTCACCAATAACAAATAAATGCAAGTTAAAACAAAGTGAGAGTTTCATTATGTAGCAAATGGTTAGAGATAAAGATTCATAATTCCCAGAGTTGGCTAATGTGGGGGACATTGAACATGTTCACACATCACTGAGGAGTTATTGAAGTGAAATGAACTTGTAAAGGGACATTTCAGGATAGGTTTCTTTTATTTTAAAGGTTCATATTATAATTTAGCAGTTTTAAGTAAACAAGGCAGGATCAAAGTTTAATGTAAAATTATGTTACTTTCAGCATAATCTAACAAAGGGGCAACTTAAAGAAATTTAAAATTATATAAGTGAGAGATCATAAAAGTTTATTTTTACAGTGGATCTCTTTATTCACTGGAAATGTCACAGAAAATGCTTATCTGTTGATAAGAAAAATATTCATATAACAGTCAAGCAGTAAAATGCAAGTTTTGAGAGAATGATGCTACTTCTATAAAGCAACACATAAACAAATAAAAATATAGTAGAAAGGCAGTCATCAAAATGTAAATGATGATTATATAATAGGGCTAGCTCATAGGTAACTTTTGCTTTTTTTACATTTTCTAATTTTTAAGTTATCTGCATCAAATATTATTTTTGAGTCATTTTTAAAAACTAAGTGTAATTAAAATTCAAAGAGAGAAATAGTTATGGTTTATTCCATTTTGAAAATCTGTATATAAGCATAATTTAAGAGAGTGATACAAACTGTGGCAACTTATCAATACTAACATCAGAAAAATTGGTCTTCTGATTATTGATGGACTGTGATGATAGATGTGTACATTTTGAAAAATGGCCTGATAAAACAGAATCAAACTATTCAATGGGACCTGTTTACTATCCAAGACTCCAAAATTCTAGCTTTGCTGTCCCACCAAATGACATTGTCTGATATAGAGCTAATATATACTTGATTTTTTTATAAATTTTGATAAATTTGAAAATTCCTACTGTATTTTAAAAACTTGCGCTATCGGGTATAAAATATTAAAATCTAACATTCGTGGACATAATTGCATTGAAAACCTACATTCATTTTAAAATTATTTATTTAAAACTTTTTAAAAATAAATTTTATTACACATTGCTAAAATTTACAAAATGATGTGGAATACATACAAATAGTTTGCAGCAAACAAATTTTTTACCTCCCGGGTTGAGCTTATTCTTAGAAATTTTAGTTTTTGATACTACTGTAAATGAACGTTTTCTTGATTTTCTTTTTAGCTAGGTCTCCACATCATTCCTGGGTCTTTGTCCTTGGCTTGGTGGACAAGCTGCCTCCACCCAAGCCCAGGAGAGTGAATTTGCACTGAAGTCACAGGGTCTGCAATAGTTCAGTGAGATGCTGCATCAAAGACCCTGACTTCACTGTCACTCTGAGCACATATGCCCTGAAACACAGCACTTCTGTGACTGCTTGAGGTTCACATCAGACCCAAGGCAAGGACTATGACTCGGAGTCACTTCCCAGTGACTCTGGTTCTAGGAATCAGAGTGCTGCACTAGCACAGCTTAGAGAGGAGAATTGGCTCAGAGGCTCAGGTTCCAAAAGGGCACAGTGACAACTTGGGCTGCCAAGAAGAAGATTCTATATAGTGATGAGACTGGGTTCTGGAGGGATGCAATGCACTTATGGTTCAGATTCTGAAAGCAATGGCATCACAGACCCAGGAATCATGTGGGGCAAATGTGGCTTGAGCTCTGACACATGGGGAAAAGTGCAGTATTGTCCTCAGTCCCTAGAGAAATAAGGCATCTCAGCAGCTAAGACTCTGCAGGACTAGCCTAGATCCAGGGAAGAAAAGCTCTAGGATACAGTGTTATAGACAACCAATGTTATGTTCCCTGAAGAACCAAGCATCATATGGTTCCAGCACCAAAGCCCAGGCTACTTCCCTAGGCCCAAGCTGTAATGCCCTTAAGCTAAGGTACTTAGTTAGCTCAGGTTCTGAGGATTACAACTGCTTCATCAGCTCAGGTATGGCATCTCCTTTGGGCTGGAGCCTCTGTTCTCCAAGGTGTTGAATGCCAATAGAGTATCTGTTTTCCTGTGCCAAAGCTCCAGTGTTCTAAGGATGGAGCACTTCGCTGATTCAGGAACTAAAGGCATGTAGATGCTCCACCAACCTGTGTGCCACCTTCTTTGTGCAGGAACCTGGTCTCTCAGAGCAAGGCTCTAAGTCATCCTGGGCTCTGTGGTGTTAGGTCTTTCCCACTGAGCCTTGGCTCCCAGTAGCTGGGGATAAATGGCAGATGGCAGCTATGAGAATGGGTGGTCAGAGATGGGGCATCTTCTAGGATGCTTGTTCCCTGGCAAGAGGCAGCTGAGGAACAGTGCACTCGCATGTATATGATCTTAGTGCAGAGGTGTCAGAGCCTCGGTGATGGTGAGGTGCTGCTTGCTATAGAGCAACACACACTCCGTGGTTCCTCTTCATAATGGCAGAGGTTAGAGTGGTGGGTGGGCACAAGGTGCTTGGGCTCCATCTCTGGACTTTATGGCTGTGAGAACTCCAGGCAGCATCCTGAAATGAGCTCAGGACCTGTGGGGACTGCAGGATTCTTTAGCAACAAAGGCCACAGGTGTCCAGAACGGTAATGAGAGCTACTTGGAACCTCCTGCTTTCCTTTCCCCGGTGTGGAGAAATCCCTCCTGGTACCAAGCTGGACTTTACTAGGGAAACAGGGAGGCCGACAGAAGATGTTTTGTTCCTCTCTCTGTGGCAGCATCTTGAGAGTCCGCGCTCTGCCAGATCAATCTCCACCACTCACTTGCTGTACTCAAACACTGTCTTTCAGTCACTTTGGGCAAAATCCAGTTGTTGGTTTATTTATTCCTCTGCTGTGGTGGGAACAAGCATTGGGCTTCTATGGTTGCACAACTCATGGATATCTCTCTGACAATGCATATTTTCATTTTGAAGTTTGAAAGCCTGAAGGCAACTAATGAGGTTTAAAGGAGAGAGAAAGAGAGAGATGAAACAAATGTACTCAGTAAGTGTCTTAAATACTTACAAATCTTTACATATGCTTTATAATTTCAGGGATGTATTTGAGGAAAATTGATCAAGGGTGATGTGCGATTTGTGATATCATTCAGTTAATTTTGGGAAAAATCTAGTGATTCACATGTCTTTTGCTTCAAATAGTTCTCCCAGGGAGCTTGTGGCTGAACTTGTGTCTAGAATGCGCATGTAAAAGGCCCTCCTGACAAAAGTCCAAGACACATCTTAATGGATCACAGGTAGTGTTCCACAGCATGAGTCACTGGTGGTTTCGAAGCAACATCAATTTGGCCATAATATGTTTCCATGGTTCCCACACTTATCACCCTCTGCCTGGTAATGAACACCAGTAAAAAATGACCTGACTGGATTATAGCAAGAGAAGCATCTGAAGAACCTTCTTTTTATAGTTTCTTTTCTTATAAAACACTCAGCCGACTCCTTTTCTAAGGCTGTCCTAAAATTTATTGTACAATGCAGAATGAGGTAATTGGTTTTCAGTATTTCAGGAGGGCGCTACACTGCA